CGGCAAACCTAGATAGCATATTGAAAAGCAGAGACATCACCTTGCCGACAAAGATCCGCATAATCAAGGCTATGGTTTTTCCAGTAGCAATGTATGGCTGTGAGACCACATTCTTCAACACTTCATTCTTGTATTGTCAGAAAACTATATTGGAATGATTTTTTTTTGCTCCAGGTCCCAATAAGGAGTAGGAGGATATTCTTATCAACCTAAAATGACCAATAAGTGCCTCTCTGATCCCACCCTTTAGTGATCACTGACTTCACTTCCAGTGGTGAAGCAAAATAGATGTTTTTGCTACTATAGACAAACATGGCTCTGCTCCTAAAATATCCACCGTGGAGGCAAATGAGTTGAAACAAAGGAATAGAGGAGGATAGAGATCAGTAACAGGCACAGCAAACTTCATATGATTCAGTTTTCTTTCAAGTCAAGGATGGCAGACAGCCCTTCAAGTCAGCAGAGGGGGAAAAAAGGTTATTATGATCTTCAAAACTAGAGCTTGCCATATTCCAGCTTTGTGAATACCAACTTGTGCTACCAATTTTCTGGCCGTATGCATGAACAGAAGAAAAGTCTAAAAACCAAGATTTTCCTTGGGGTGAAGAAGGGGTAACACCGATAAGGCTGGGGAAATATTCTTCTGATGAGTTTCCTGAGCTGTAAACAAAGTGACCCATAAAAGTGCCAACCGTGACAGGAGTATGTTTGCAAAATGAAAAATGCCTTTGGAAAATCCAGTTTTCAGTGGAGGAATTGAGGATGGGGAAGAGAACAGGAGGAGTGTTCATCTGACTAGGGCGGTCTGTTTTTCTGTGCAAGTCATGCACAAAAGCAGTTCTCCTCCTCGTAGAAATGTGTTTCGTGCGCCATGCAGAGGAAAGAAACTTGGAAGGGAGGGGAACAAGTAGGCAGGGTGGAAATGCATACGCCCTGTTCCTCCCTTCCTCACACACACTTAAAAGGGCAGCCTCCAGTGGCCTTTAACCTGGTTTGCTTATCAAATGAGGGTTCTGTTAACAAAAGTTTTGCAGTTGTTCAGCAGTCGTGCTGTGAATTCTTTTCTGCTG